CAGCACAGCCTAGTCAACTTCACACTCAACAAGCTCATCCAGCGGGTATGGGCCGGGATGGGAGGGCTGCTTGGAGGGGGGTGATGTGGACGCTGATGGAGAGGCTCGAGGCGGGGAGGCGGGGCAGAGGGGGTCACCTTTGCTCTAGCTGCTGTTTACAGAGCTTTACACATATAATTAACACATTTAGTTCTTAGAGCAGGGGTAGGAGGTAGGTGCTATTGTTACCCCCACTTCAGAGATGGAGAAATTAAGGCTTGGAGAGGGCATAACTAGCCCAGGATCTCGGGGCTGCTGCCTGGGGCTCGCCCTAGAGCCTGTGTTCACCACCTCACCGCCTGCCTGTAGCATAAAGGGAGTGTCGGGGAAATGTGGTGTGCTGAACCGGGAGAGGTTGGCAGGGGCTGGAGGCATGGGGTGTGGGCGGTGGTGAGGGACTTGGACATTTCCCAGGGGCACTGGAGAGCCACAGAAAGCTGTCACTACACCTCCTGCTACCCTGTGTGGGCTGGACTGAGTGAGGAAACTGTGAAGCCCCAGCAGAGAGGGCCCAGTGACAGGGACACCAGGGTTCAGAGCCAGCGCCAAGCCCACCGCTCAGGCCTTCCTCAGTTTCCTAGGAGGTGGGCTGGGCTTTGGAAGGACAGGCGGGAGCCATTGGCCCACTCTGCAGTGCCACTTCTTCCAGTCTGAGCTTGGGCCCGGGTGGGGGTCCTGGCTGTTCCCCTCACCCCACCCCCTTCCTCTTCACAGGGCTTCACTCCCATGACGGTGCCAGACCTTCTCCGAGGAGCTGTGTTTGTGAGTGCTCCCCATGCTCAGCTGTGTGCCCTATTCTGGGCCCATCTCCCCCACAGAGGCCGCCCTGGGACTGGGTTCAGGATGTCAGGCCAGAACAGGGAGGCCAGAGCAATTCCAGAAGCTTCCTGGGGAGGAGCAGCAGTTGTGACTGCAAAATGGAGCTGGAGGTCCTCTGTCCTCTGACCTCTGTGGCTTGGCCTCTTCCCCAGGAAGGCTGTGGGATGACACCAAATGCCAACCCGTCCCAGATTTACAACATTGACCCCTCCCGCTTTGAAGACCTCAACCTGGCTGGGACAGCAGAGGTGGGACTGGCTGGTAAGCACCTGCCGGGAGGCAACAACAGGGGTGAGGTTACATGCAGCATCCTCAGAGCAACAGGGATTGTAGGGGGACACCAAGGAGCACCCTAGGGGTGACGGCTGTCTGCTGAGGATGTCTCAGTGACCCCAGGCTCAACATGTACAGTTGTGTAGATTGTTGGCTGTACAACAGTGCAGTGAAGATCCAGCCATGTGCCCCGCCATGAGGTTGTGTCCACCAGAGGGGACCCCTTTTCTCAGTCTCACAGAGGTTTCCTGTGGATGAGCCGTTGCCCCTGGCTGACCCATCATGTTCCCCTTTCTTCCCAGGCTACTTCATGGACCACTCCGTGGCCTTCAGGGACCTGCCCATCAGGTGATACTCAGTTCCTTTAGATCTTGCCCCCACCTGTGACATTCCCTCTCCCCTCCCTGACTCCACCTCCCCTGCTGCCCCCAGGATGGTTTGTTCTAGTACCTGCTACCGGGCCGAGACAGACACAGGGAAGGAGCCACGGGGACTGTATCGAGTACACCACTTCACCAAGGTCAGTGTGGCCGGGACCAGGGAGGAGCGCCACTCCGGGGACCCCAGGCCTCCTGACTCCTGTGCCCGCTGCGCTGCCCCAGGTGGAGATGTTTGGGGTGACAGGCCCTGGGCTGGAGCAGAGTTCGCGGCTGCTGGAGGAGTTCCTGTCCTTGCAGATGGAGATCCTGACGGAGCTGGGCCTGCACTTCCGGTGCGGGGTGGGGTGGGGGCACGGGAGGAGGGACGGGCTGGCTAGGTGCTCCCTAATCGTGAACAGCCTCACCTTACCCCTCCCCTTGCCCCTTTTCCCCGTGTCTGGAATATGTACAGGGTCTGTCCATCGGTAAAATCCTGTGTAGGACACAGGACAGGGCCAGCAGCCTGAGCAGCATGGGGCGCCCCAGTGTGGGGGCCTAGACCCCTTCTCTCTTGTGGCTCCCATCCTGGGTGCTGCCCCACCTGCAGCCCCTCCATGCGGCTCCTCAGCACCCCAGGCAGAGTGGAGATGGGGGCACAGCCCTTCCCTTTCAGGCAGGACCTACAGGCAGCCCCACACCACCCCCACCCCGGCCACCACAGGCTTCCAGAGAGGCCCGGGGATGTGGCCTTTTGGCCTGGGGACCCACTACAATCCCAGTAGCCCTTGCTTTCTCCTCCCCGCCCTCCTCTCCATCCACTTCTCTTCCGCCATGCCCACTGCCACAGCTGCTGCCACCTCCTTGTGCCTCTACCTCTCACCTGCTGACCTTCACCATGACCTTCTCTTCTACCGCAGCGTCCTGGACATGCCCACCCAGGAATTGGGCCTTCCCGCCTACCGCAAGTTCGATATCGAGGCCTGGATGCCAGGCCGTGGCCGCTTTGGTGAGGTGAGCCTCCAGGGCAGTGGGGACGGGGGGGGACAGGACCCCCCCACTTCCAGCTGGTCCCCTCAGCTCACTCCGCGCCCTCGCCCAGGTCTCCAGTGCGTCCAACTGCACGGACTTCCAGAGCCGCCGGCTTCACATCATGTTCCAGGAGGAGGCCGGGGAGCTGCAGTTCGCCCACACGGTGAGCACCCGCACCCCCTCCTGCCCTCCCCAGAGCCTCCGCCCTCCTAGGGACGTGCCACCTCAGCCTCTCCCGGGCCAGCAGAGGCCGTCAGGTGGACGCGGGCATGCCTCTCTCCCAGGTGAACGCCACGGCCTGCGCCGTCCCCCGCCTCCTCATCGCCCTCCTGGAGAGCAATCAGCAGGAGGTGAGGGCTGGAAGGATCTCGCTGGGGGAGGCAGAGGGTGGAGGCCTGGGGCCATGGCAGCAACCTGTGGCCCGCTCTGTCCCCAGGATGGCTCGGTCCTCGTGCCCCCTGCCCTCCAGCCCTACCTTGGCACCGAGCGGATCACGGCCCCCACCCATGTGCCTCTCCAGTACATCGGCCCCAACCAGCCCCAGAAGCCCAGGCGCCTGAGCCGGCCTGTTTCGAGCTGAGGAGTCACCCTCATCCGTCCGCAGGGCTGTGGCTGCTTCCTGGAGCTCAGGGGACTCTGAAAGCCTGGGACCTATTTTCCTGAGCACATCCTGACATCTGCATTCTCTGTGTCAGCTCTGTGCCTGGGCCCCTTCTTTATTCCCCTACTTCCCCAGAATCAGCCAGTGACCCCGTTGCCACTGATGGTCCCAACCTGCACCAGAAAGCAGGGCATCTGGGGACTTGAAGGTTGTAGGGATGGGGGGGAGGAGAAGAAGCCTCCAACCTTTTTTCCTTCCCTCCGTTAGTACTTAGCAGAAGTCCCCAATAAATGGTCAGAACCAAGACCTTTGTGGATCTGTGAGCAAGGGTTTAGACCCTGGTCGCCTCACCGGGGGTGCCGGGCAGCTGGGCAGAGGTGCGAACCCTTCACAGGGTTGTGGCTGGAGGGACCATGGCCGGGAATGGCCAGCAACCTCCCGAGCACATGGAGGACAACTTGTGGCCACTGCCGGAACCAAGAGGATGCTGAGTCCTCTCCCCTTGCTCTAGGACAAGGGACACCTTGCCCTCACCTCCACCTCTCGCAGCAGGGAGGGGTCCAGGAGACGGCACAGCCTCAGCGAAGGCAGAACTCACTCTGCCCTTCGCAGTACACGGTACCATCTTCCCAGCTCCTCTAGCCACAGCCCGTCCAGTGACCCTCAACTCTCACACCGTCAGTCCTTCCTTCAGCAGACCCCAGCCACTCCTTCAGAATATCTCCAGAAGCCTCCAGAGGCCCTTACTTTCTCCTTCCTGCTCTGTCCCTGTCCTGTCCACCGTGACTGACCAGCCTCTTCACTGCCTGCTGCTGCCTGGGCCCCACACGAAGCCAGAGTGACGCTGTGGACCCCCTTATCCGGTCACATCCCTCCCTCGCTTGGAGCCATCCTGTCGCTCCCTCTCACTTAGGGAAAGGACAGAGCGGTCCCCGGGATCCACAAAGTGATTATCTGCCCTCTGCCTTCCTCCTCAACCGACCTCTTGTCATGCTCTAGGTCTGGCTGTTCGAACTCTGCAGACTCAGTCTTGACTCAGACCTTTGCCCTCACCGGTCCCTTCCCTGGCTACCCTTTCCCTCCGGCTGGCATGGCTGCCTCCGTTTTATCACTCCGGCCTTCACCCAAATAATCCTTTTCCAAGAGGACCTCTCTGACCAGCCAGAGTAAAAGCCTCTAGCACTCTTATGATGCGGGAGTCTGCGGTCATTTCCTCCTTCCTGACGCCTATGTGAGTGTTGCGTGTGGCCCTTCTCAAAGCTCTGCGCCAAGAGCACAGGGAAGTTTGCCAGCGTGTCCCCTACTGGAGCCCCAGGCTCTATAAGATGGCTGGGCATAGAGTAGGTGCTCAGTAAAAATTCCCGGATGGAAGGGGCTGGGACCTGTGTAGCTCCCAGTGCCTGGCACTGTCTAAATGACCATGTGCACTCCTCACCTACCGCCATGCCTTCCCTGTAGAGTCACTGGCCCCATTTCACAAAGGATAGAACCGACCCTAGAGTCGACAAAACCCTCAGCAGTTTTCCCCGGGCCTGCACAGCCAGTAGTGGTGGAGCTGGGATTCAGGCAGAGCCCAGCCACAATCTTTGGGGAAATAGGTTTAGGAGACCCAAATTTCGAGATGCAGGAAATGCTCAAGGAAAATTGTTGCCTGAGGTCTATCTGCAAGTGGCTGCCACTGGATTCGAACCCTGATCGGCCTCCCAGCACAGCGTTAAGCTCAACAGACTGTTTGTCTGGGGGACGCACCCTCCCTCTGTGCAGGTGCTCAGGGGCCATTAGCTGGAGGGGAGCAAGGTGCAGGACGTGGGTCTCCATGAATAATTGAGGATCTCGGGCAGGTGGCCGCCCCGCAGCTGTCACCTGGCTGCGAGGGGAAGGGGCAGTGGTGATGTCACTTCCTCCCCTGCGGGGCCAGGGACACAGGTTATAAGCAGCTGCCGCACCGTCCAGTGCAGCCGCTGAGCACTCTGGTCAGGACGCCCCACCATGCAGCACCGCGGGCCCGCCTCTGTGCTGCTGTTGCTGCCGTTGCCCCTGCTGTTGGCGCTGCTGCTGGGGGCAGGTGAGTGCCAGAAACCAGACAGGGGACTTTCTCGGCCAGCTCAGGGACCAGGGACTTGAGGGACCAGGGGCCGGAATGGTGCACCCAATGGGGTCAGACTAGAGACTTTGCTGGCTGAGCTGTCCAGGTGGGGATGGTGCACCGGGTAGGTAGGCTGGGGGAGGGGACGAGTGAACAGGATGCACTTGAACCTGGAATCAGCACCAAGGACAGCATGGGGTGGGGGCTGTCCGAGCCCAGCACCCATCTCCTTCCTCCACAGCCACCGCTGCTCCCTTGGCGCCAAGATCCTCCAAGGAAGAGGTGAGGAGTGCGGACCCCTTGCCCTGCCTCATCTTCCCCACACCCTGGCCCTCTGACCAGCCTGCATGATCATCTCCTCTCCACACCCCCAACTGTTCTCATTCCCCCACCCGCCCTGCCCTCAATCTCCCCTCTGTCCCTTCACCAGCTGACTCGCTGTCTGGCCGAGGTGGTCACGGAAGTGCTGGCGCTGGGCCAGGCCCAGAGAAGCCCCTGCACAGCTCTCCTCCACAAAGGTAAGCAGGACCCAGTTCCTCCTGGGAGCCCCCACCCCACCCTGGGTTTTGGTCAGGGCTTCCTGGAGGACAGGGTGTCTCCTCCAGGCCCCCTTGCCCGGGTTGGCATACCACTGCGCAGTGTCCACCTGGCCTCCAGCTCCACCCGTGGGGTTCCCTGCAGAGGTGTGGGATGGCGGCACAGAATATACCCCGGCCCTGACCCTCCTCTCCCAGTTTTGGGCAGCCCCCCTGTGGGACCTTGGGTTCACCCCAGAACTCCAGGTCTCAGTTTCCCAATTTGCAGCACAGAGAGCGTCCTCTCTCTTTCTGCCAGAAATATGTCAGACAGAGCCTTATGGCTGTGTGTCCGCCAAAGAGAAAGACCTACCGCTTGGGGATTTCAAGAAGCAAGAGGCTGGGAAGACGAGGTCCAGCCAGGAGGTGAGGGAAGAGAAAGAGGAGGCAGAGAGGGACCACGTATCTGAGGTACGGGAACAGACCATCCACGAGCAGCTCCACAGCCGGCTCCGCCAGGACGAGAAGAACGAGGAGGAGGAGGAGGAAGAGGAGGAGGCAGAGGAAGAGGAGAAGAGGAAGAAGAGGGGGCCCATGGAATCTCTCGAAGGTGAAGGCCTGTGGAGGCATCGCCTAGAGGGCAGAGGGGGCCCCCAGAAGCGAGTGGCAGAGCAGGCCAGTGACGAGGAGACAGCACAGTTCGAGGCGGAGGAGAAGGGCCTGCAGGTGCTAGGCGAGGGCGGCGGCCTGTGGCGGGGAGCCGAGGGGGGCGGAGGAGAGGGACACGAGGACTCGCCGCACCGCCACCGCCCCCACCAGCCAGAAGCTGAGCCAAAGCAGGAGGAGAAGGAAGAGGCTTCGGAGAGGGAGGTGAGTAGAGAAGGCGATGGGCCAGTGGGGTGGACCGGACGGTCAGGGGATTCCGACCAAACACGTACCAGCATTGAACCATAAATAGCCAATATCCACCACAAATGGAGCCTAGTGATGGGGACTGAGAGCAGGAAAGGCAGCAACAGCCAGGCAAGATCAAGGTCAGACCAAGGTGGTCAAGAGGGCTGAGATGACAGTGACCGAGATGGCCATGAACGGCGAACTGAGTCGGTCAGCACTGTGGTCTGTGGCGAGCAGTGTGGCTGCGTGGAAAGAGGCTGTCATGCTTGGTCCAGCGGACCGGGAACGGATGCCACTGCTGAGTCACGGAAAGTAGGCTATCCCCACGACTGGTGGCAGTAGCCACAACGGCCAGCACCTCAAAAAGGGGTCCTGGCCTCCAAGCCTGGCACCTTTACTGATCCCCTCTGCTACCGTGGGCGAGGCAGTCAACATGGACCGCGCAGCCGGTCACGTCAGCCATCCCCCTCTGGCCCCCATCGAGGTCCATGGGGACCAGGGTGACCCCTGCTGGCTGCTGTTGTGCAAACTGGCACAGGCCACATTCACTGGTGACTCTTGGGGTGGCCCGCCCTTGAAGGTGGCTGCTGATCAACCCCTTTCTGACCCCCCCCCCCACCAGGAGCATGACATGGAGCGGCTGGAGCACGTGAGAAAGGAGCTGAAGAAGGCAACCGAGATTCTGGGGGAGGAGATCAGGAGGGAAGGATGACTCCCGACACCCCCTATGGCCTAGGACCGTGGACCCCCAAAGCTCACCTCACTGCCCACTCCGTCCCCCGGCCTGCAGGCATGGGGGAAGGGTGGGCTGTGCGACCGGGCCCAGGGCCTGAACCTGAGCTGGGCAGAGGAGCTGGGCTCACTGACTCAGGACACACCCGGCCCCCCCGTGTCACCCCCTCCGACCCCTCCGTGTGAATAAAGCACAAAGAAAACCACTGAGGTTTGTGTGGTGCTTGATTTTGGACAGACAGGGACCCAGGAATAAACTGAAAGACTGGGAAGGTGACCGTCAGTCTAGTCTCTAGTTATCAGAAGCGGGATTTTATTAAACTGGAAACTCTATTAACAATGAGGTCAGATGGGGCCATCAGGGAGAAGTTTATTAAACTGGAAACTCTATAAACAATGAGGTCAGACGGGGTCATCAGGGAGAGGTTTTGAGGCTGGGGTGGGAGGTAGCCGGTTTGGGCTCTGGCCACTGTGGACCACGATGTCGTCGTATTCATCCTGGGGGCAGAGGGGGGGCAGGCACGGGCTCAGGCGGCTGTCACCCTGCCAACTGTCCGTTTCTCCCACCCACCCTGGCAACTGGGTCTTGCCTGGAAAAGCCCAAGTTCCCCCCATTCAAATCCCCTGCTCCTGGTTTGCCACCCACCACGTTCAAGGTCACCCATGTTCTCCCACAGCCTGCCCGCTGCTCAGGCTCCAGCTCTGCTGCTTTGCTGGACCTTCGGCAGCCACTGGGGCTGCCCCTCCTCGGGCCCCTCCCTCTGCCTCTACCCAGACTCCTCACCCCCCACCCCTAGGCTTGTCCCCTGTCCTTCCCTCCCTCCCCGGGGTAGTGTCTCTGCTGCCTGGATTCCCCAAAACAACCTCCTCACTGCTGGCTCAGGTCTTTCCCCGCTGTCACCAGTGTTGGGATCACTGCTGCCTGAGGTCAGGTTCCTGCCGCCTGAGTTCTCCAACTCTTCCTCCTCACAGTCACTCCCTACGCTGTCAGCCACTGCTGCCAACCACTGCCATTACGGGTCACTCCGACCGACGTCTTTTCTCTAACTCTGCCTGAGTTCTCATTCTGGCTTTGCCTTAGGTTTCTCAAGCACCACTCCCTGCCTGCTCCCCGCCAGCCCTGTCCAGGGCTCCCCGGACTGCTGACAGCCCTGGTACCGCTGCCTGAGTTCTCTGACTGCAGCGGCCTGAGGTCAGTCTCACTATCCTGCCTTCTCCCTGCTTCCCACCTGCCCGTTTACCCTGACCCCCCGGCTGGGCCACCCAGTCTTTCCTCCTGACTCACGCCCTCGTCCCCGCTGTCACTGTCGCTACTGCTGCTGCAGGGGCCAGGCCTGTCGTCCTCATCCTCGGGCTCAGGGGCTCCATGTGCACGGAGAAGGCGGGCGAGGATGGGGTTGGGCCGGAGCATGGCGCTGCCCAGTGGGGTACGGCCACCGTACATGCGGGTAGCGGGGTCGGCACCCGCCCTCAGGAGGAGCTCCAGCACATCGGCGGCTTGGGCCTCCACTGCCAAGTGTAGGGGGCTCCGGCCACAAGTGGGCTCCTGTGAGGAGCAGCAGAGAGGTCAGGGAGGCCCTGGCCTGCTCTGGGGGACAATCTGCCCTGCCACTCCTTCTCCCTAGGGCAGCTCACCGGTTTGTTGAGGTCTGCTCCAGCCTCCCGGAGCAGCTGAACCATCTCGGCATCTTTGTGGATGACAGCCACGTGAAGCGGGGTATGGCCTGGGGACAGAGTGACAGGTGTCAGACAATGGGGGTGGGCCCGGGCCCCAAATGCCAAGGTCCTAGGGGAGGGCTTCTTGGCCTGAGTTTGGGGTCCAGCTCCTGAATTCCTGGGTAAGTCAAAGAGGCAAGGGCACCCCCCACTGCCTAAGTCTTGGTGGTCTAGAACTTGCTGGCGATGCCAGTGCCTGGCTTTGGAATGTCTTGGGCTTATAGGTGAAGAGGCTGGGGGCTTTGGACAGTTAGCCTGGATCTTGGGACTGGGACACTGAGTCTCTGGTCTTTATTTTACAAAGGACCTGGACCCCAGGAAGATGGGCTCTTTTTTCCCAGGAGGCCTGGCTGAGGGCTGTCCCGGAACCCAGTATAAATCTCTGGGAACCTGGGCCTTGAGTTCCCTCATCCTGCATAGACTAGGACCTATGGTTTCGGTGGCAGGGGGCGAGGTCTGGAGTGAGCTGTGCCTTCCAGCTGGGGAACCCAGGCCCAACAATAGGATCTTAGTAGTTCTAGGCCTATGGGTGATGGGTCTGGATCCTAAGTGGTCTTGGGCCTCCACTTGGTCCAGATCCTGAATCCCACAAGACCAACTGTCAGTAATCTGGAGCCTCAGGGGGAGCCTTTCCCCCTGCCTGGGTCCCTGAAGCCTCAGTATTATTTCCCAAGGGGCTGGGTCTTGAGTCAGGAGAACCAAGCCCAGTGCCCAGCACTCTCACTCTGCTCAGGAGCCCAGGCCCTGCCCAGTGACTGGGAACCCTCACCCTCGTAGTTTTCAGCCTCCAACTGCAGCTTCCAATCCTCCTCACTCTCTTCATCTTCCTTCTCCAAGTCGGGTTCGGGGTACAAGGTGACAGGTGGGCGGTTGGCATCAGAGGTGCGGTCAGGGCCCTGAGCGAGGTAGGTGTTGGGGGCTCCCCTGGCGCACCGGGGACGGGGCTGGAGAAGCATGCGAGCACAGGCATGTGCCCTCATGCGGCAGGCCAGGTGCAGTGCTGTGTGTCCCCCACGCTCCGCCACGTGCAACCCGGCACCTGCCGCGTACAACTTCTCCACTGTGGACGCCTCCCCCAGGATGGCTGCCAGGTGAAGGGCTGTCTGCAGGGACAGAGGGCAGGGGTTAGGGGTTGCACTGAGAGCCAAGCCCCAAGCCCTGTACTGGCCCTGGGTGGCTCACCTGGCCCAGGTCATTCTGCAGGTCTAGGTACTCAGTGCCAGCCGCGAAGCCTAGGAGGAAATCCAGGAAGGGCTCGTGCTGATGAATCACCGCCAAGTGCAATGCCCTGAAGACAAAGATGGGGAGCAGAGGACAGAGGTGAAGTACCCTGGGGCACCTGGATGGCACAGCTGGTCAAGCATCATGGTTTCAGCTTAATTGGTTTCGGCTCAGGTCATGATCTCAGGGGTTGTTGAGATCAAGCCCCACATCAGGCTCCACGCTCAGTGCAGCGTCTGCTTGAGATCCTCTCTGCCTCTCCTTCTGCCCCCCTACTCGTGCTCCTTTGCTCCACCGGCTAAGCCAGCCAGGCGCCCCCAAAAGGACAATTATAAAATGAAAAGAACATCAGTGAGCTATAGGACAACTTCAAGCAGCCTGATAATATTTGAAACTTAAGTCCTTAAATGGAGGTGGGGGATAGAAAAAAAACATTTGAAGAAATAATGTCTGGGAGATTTTCCAAATTTGATGAAAACTATAAACTCATATATCCAAGAATGAGAAATATTTTAAAAAAACTATGCCAATGGGACACCTGGGTGGCTCAGTCTGTTAAGCATCTGCTTTCAGCTCAGGTCATGATCCCAGGGTACTGGGATCGAGTCCCACATCAGGCTCCTTGTTCAGCAGGGAACCTGCTTCTCCCTCTGCCTCTGTCTGCAGCTCTGTCTGCTTGTTCTCTCATTCTCTGACAAATAAATAAAAAAATAAAATATTAAAAAAAAAAAAAACTACGCCAAGGCCCAACATAAAAATCCTGTTCAAAACAAATGATGAAGACAAAAATCTCAGGGGCGCCTGGGCGGCTCATTTGGTTAAGCGCCCAACTCTTGGTTTCAGCTCAGGTCACAATCTCAGGATCGTGAAATTGAGTCCCTCATCAGGCTCCTCACTCAGCATGGAGTCTGCTTGAGATTCCCTGTCTCTCCCTCTCCCTCTGCACCCCTCCCCACCCAGCACTTGCTCGTTCACTCTCTCTCTAAAATAAATAAAATCTAAAAAAAAAAAAAAAAAAAAAGACAAAAATCTCAAAAGCAGCCAGAGAAAGAGATACTTCAAGTCAGAAAAATAAAAATAAGGATGATAGCAGATGTCCTATAAGAAATGAGGCAAGGGAACACACTGGAGCAACCTCTTTCAAGTATTCAAACGCAGTCAACCTAGGATTCTGATTTTTTTTTTAAGATTTTATTTATTTATTTGACAGAGGTCACAAGTAGGCAGAGAGGCAGGCAGAGAGAGGAAGGGAAGCAGGGTCCCTGCTGAGCAGAGATCCCCATGCGGGGCTCGATCCCAGGACCCTGAGATCATGACCCGAGCCGAAGGCAGAGGCTTTAACCCACTGAGCCATCCAGGCGCCCCGGATTCTGATTTTTTTAAGTAGACTCCATACCCCGTGTGGAGCCCAACTTGGGGCTTGAACTCATGACCCTGAGATCAGGACCTGAGCTGAGATCCATAGTTGGATGTTTCACTGACTAAGCCATGCAGGCGCTCCTCAACCTAGAATTTTTTTTTTTTTAAAGATTTTATTTACTTGAGAGAAAGAGAGTTGAGTGAGAGAGAGAACAGGAGTAGGGGTAGGGATAGAAGGAGAGAGAGAAGCAGACTCCCTGCTGAGCAGGGAGCCTAACATGGGGCTTGATCCCAGGACCCTGGGGATCGTGACCTGAGCCAAAGTCAGACGCTAACCTGACTGAGCCACCCAGGCGCCCCTGACCTAGAATTCTTTAACCCAGCAAAAATATCTTTCAAAAAAATAAATAATGGTGTTTTCAGGTATACAAAAGCCGAAAGAACTTATTGCCAGCAGACCCACATCACCAAAGAAAGGTCAAAGGAAATCTGCGAGCAAAAGGAAAATGACATGACACAGCAATAAGGGCCTACACAAAAGAAAAATGAACATGAAAATAGTAACTTTTTGGGTAAATATGGAAGATTTTTTCCTCATTATGTAAGTCTCTTTTTTTTTTATGTAAGTGACTTTAGAAGGTAATTTGAAAAAAATACTTGAGTGTTTAAACAAAACTACTAACAATGTACAGTGGAGTTTATCACATACACGTAAGTAAAATGTAGCACAATAACATAAAGGCCAGGACAGGACAAATGGAAATACACGCTTCTAAGTTTCTTTTAGCTTTTACCCTATGCGAGGTGACACAGTGTCACTTCTAGGCAGAACATAATAAGTTGAAGCCATACAGTATATGCCACAAAGCAGAGGTCAGCGAACTTTTTCTGTAAAGCACCAGAT